GGCCTAAGCATGGCTTGGAAGGTGGCACCATCTTCATCCTCATCACAGTTTTGACTGATGATGCCCCGCAGCTGGGTCAATGGGATGCTTTGCTTCTTTGGCCCCCTCTCAGCCCCAGAGTCATTGCTTCTCCTATTGTGGCAAATGAGGGCATGCCAATGCAAGCTCATGATCTCAGCGTCAACCGGCGAAGCTCCGCAGAAGCAGCATCAACGCTAAGAAGCAGAAGTGTTTGCTGATGATTAAAAGAAACCGTCTCCTTCAAAAAACCCTTTGATTTGTGAAGTCGGACGCCTGGCCTCTAATGATCTTTGAGCATTTCCCCATTGCCATTCCCATGGCAAAGCAAAACTCCGCAGAAGACAGTCGCCTCGGAAGGAGAAGCATGCCATCGCTAAGTTCAGCTGCAATGCCCATTCATCCAGGGAAGAATTCATCTCCCTTGGGGAGACTCAGCAATGCAAGTGGGAAATGGGTTAGGAAAGGGGAGAGACTCTTGGGAGATCTGGTGGACATGTCTCCAGGCCACTGGTGGGATTCCAGAGGAGAAGATGAAAGAGATCACACATAGCTTTCTTTGGCCAGTTGGGTTTTGTCAGATGATCAAAAAGACTGGATGTGTGATCCAAAGAAAGATGGACCAGTTGCATAGAGAGAGGGCTCAAGCTGGGAACCAAGAAAGGTCCAAGACTGGAGATGTAATATTTCTGAATGTTTTTTTTTGGGGGGGGGGGGAGAAGCAATTATTTTTACAGACTTTTACAGACTCCCCCTTTTACAGACTGAAAGTCACTTTGAGTTACTTTCCAAACATAAAATGCATTATATAAAACTTGGTCTGGCATAAAACTATCATCCTTGAATTATTAAAGGCACTGTCTTAATGCAGAACAGAATTCCAAATTGAACTTACTTTTAAAGAAAATGATTATTATTTTTATTGCTACAGGCTCCTGAGCCACGAGGAAGACCTGAGCTATCTAGAATCCCTTTTGGTTTGGGCAGTTTATAAAGAGCAGACAAACAACAAGAGCAGCAACAAAACAAGAAGCTGCCTACATTCGTAAAACAGAGAAAATTATGTTGTCTCGGCTACTTATCTATAGCGTCAAGCAGACATAACGCAACCAGAAAAAGAACCAAGAAAAGGAAACCAAGACCAGGAATGATAATAATCTGATATTATATGTAGTCTTATCTAAAAATCTTCCTCTTATAGGGTTTTCAGAAAGGATTTGGGAGAAGTAATTGCACAAACACCTTGGCTTAACCATCTTATTCATCACTCTTTAAAGACAAATTACCATTTCCATTTTCCCATGGTTTTTCTAGGGGAAAAGAGCTATGAGAAACAACCATTTTCTTCTGCATTTCTCCAATTTTTTCCCTACAGTCTTTATCACCTCTAACCAAGGCTTTCTCCTGCCCAATACAAAGAACAAAATGGTGTCTTCACTACCAGGAACCATTTGTATAGGAAGTCCAATTGTTCTTCAGCACCGGACCTGATAGCGCTTTCCTCCAGCTATTATAGGATCCTTTCATAACATCAGCCAAAGTCTTGCATAATATAACACAGCACAGTAATAACAAAATAACAACAACATACTAAAATATAATAATTGATCTCCTTCGGGGAATGCTTTGATGCAGAAGAGACTGTCAAAATGCAGGATAATCAAATATAGGATAAATATTTTGCATTTAGATCAGTTATCCAGATCAGTTATATCCATTTAGATCAGATATATCCAAAGTGTCAAGCTGCTTCTACAGCTTCATCCCATTAAAAAACTCTCATAACAACCCTGCAAGGCAGGACCAGGCTGAGATATAATGGTCCCAAATCACCGAGTGGATCTTTCACATAATGGTCCCAAATCATCGAGTGGATCTTTCACATTCATAACTGTCCAGGGATTTAAATTTGAGGATTGGATAATACTCACAGTCTAACACTGAGACGCCCATCCTGGACATTATTATTATAGCCTTCTGAAAGCCACACCACATGATTGAAATTGCTCTAAGCGCATCTTTCCCTCCAGAGATGTTAGACTACAATTCCTGTAATCCCCAGCCATGCTGGGGATATTTCCTTTACAGAGGTCTACACAGTATCTGACATTATCAATGTAACCTACCAACAGTGGCCATGTTGGCTGGTGGATTGTGGGATCTATAGGTCAAAAAAGTAGCTTTTCTAATTTCTGGATGCATCACTCTTACCAGAAGTCTGCTCTGCTCACTTGCAGAATGTACAGTCCTAAAGATATATATGATGATGATATATATATATATATATATATATATATATATATATATATATATATGACAAGGCAGAGAAATATTCTGACCTGGTACAAAGCAGTTTCCTATGAGGCTGGACTATTTTGGGCGGGATGGGGAGGCAAGAAAAGGAACTTTCCCAAGCTCAGCAGAGACCCAGAGATTTACCAGATGTGTCTGATGGATCACCAATTTCTGTCTGATGGAAATGCATGCCCTTCCAACTGTCCTGATTTCCAGGGACAGTCCCAAATAATCCTCTGTCATCCCACTTTGTCACCTGCTTTTAAAATGTCCCAGTTTCTCTTGGTTTCTCCCACTTTCACCCTTTCTCCTTAGCTGGCTTCAATGGGTGCAAACTGATTTCAAAGCAAATAAATAAATAAATAAAAAACTTGTACTCAGTCAGTTCAGCAGAAGGAAGAGGTGAGGAGGAGATGCAATCTTATCCTTCCCAGGTGGCCCAGGCAACAGCAAACTGCTGCAGCTGCTCCTAGCTTTCCTATTCTTCCTCATTAGTAACTTCCACCATCTTGGCCACAGTCTGATGTTGCTTGGCCATATACATCCCAGTTTTCCCCTCTGAAATGTTGGAGGGCTCGGGAACGGACGGGGGAGCCTAGCTTTGGCAAGCCGTGGCTGGTTCTCTCCTCTGCTGTCTCCTCCAATGTTTATTTTCAGTGTGTTCATACATTACTCTGTTGTCATTGGCAATGCTCCAGATCCACCCACTTCCTTGCTGGGGTGAGATTTCGACTCACGCAGTTATAACGGTTCATTTATTATTTCTTCTCTCTCTCTCTTTTTTTCCCCCCAAGAAAAATAATCCCACCTTCCCCACTGCCAGCAAAGATATTCCTAAGGATCATCTGAAGACAAAGCCACTGCAAAGAGCTGCAAGGTGGATGCTGCCAGGTGGCATGGAGCTCTACCTTCTTTTCCCCCCGGCAGGAATGCCTCCCATCCCTTTAACTTAGCTTTGCTTGGAAGACAAAGCCCTGGCCAGAGGTCCAGAGGTGTTCCAAAGAGAATGACCCTCAGCGTGTCCTTGTTGGTTCTTACTTCTTAAGCCGACTTGGGAAGGATTTCAGCAGATCCCATTTAATCGCTTGCAAGGCCCTTCATCCCATCTCTTGACAGTGCAGTGAGTTTTTTCCCCCTAAGCTGGCCTGCTTGTCCATTTTTATGTTATGTCCACCTTTTCTTGGGATCTGGGATCTCCCACCTGTCTTTTTTTAAATAAAGAATTAAACAAGCCGCTAATCCTCAGGGTTGTAGAGGGAACAGAGGGCAGGTGTTGGCTCTGCATTTCACAGGAGACAAGGAAGGAAAGAATATTCAAAAAGATTCAAACGTCAGGTGCAAAAGGGTCTGTTTCACCACCACTATCACCATCGTCACAAACTCTGTTGGAAACAACCCTGGACAGATAAGATTCTTTGCAATTCGGGGTTTCTGTACAGAAAATTGCACATCAACTTGTTGTTCAGAAAAAGCACCTCTTCTGTGTAGAAAGCACAGTTTCCTGACTTGATAACATGCTTTTCTCCATTGAAAAGACGGCTTTCTGCACAGAAAAACACAATTGCCTGCAGAGAAATTTGATTTCCTCTGGAAAAGTTGGAAATTAAAAGTTTCCTGAGGCATCAGAACCACGTTTGGGAAACAAAATATTAGAAATATCGAAGCTAAGGCTGTTAGGAATTAGCCTTCTTTAGCAAAGGAGAAGAAAAGCGTGCCTCAATCTGAGGATGCTTTAGAAAACTGACTCAAAATAAACAAGGCAGGCAGTTTCAGGTCACAAACTTTAAAAAAGTTTGCTAATGGCTTTGCATTTACAAATGCATGGAGGAGCCTCTGTCCCTAACTAGCTAATAAATAGATTAGGTAAAAGAAACAGCCTGAGTCTTTAACTCACCATTTTGGTGATCTGAAAAGTTATTGGCATAGAGAAGCTAAGAGCCAACAGTGTAGTGGTTTGAGCATTGGACTA